GGGCTCACACCAATGAATGCAATTAAACCAGGAGTGCTAATGAACCTTCTGCCTTCTGGGTGGGGCAACAGGTTTGCAGGAAAGGGGGAGATGCTCGCCCAGGGTGAGTGAGGGTGGGAGACGTGCTCTGCCAGCCTGAGTGCCCTGGGGCATCTTCTGAAACAGATGGGTGGTTTGGGGGTGCTGGTACCTCCCTGAGGGGAGCACGCAGGGATTGCAGGGATGGGGCTGGGCTGAAAAACGAGGTCAGTGGTGGAAGTGAACACTGTAGACATGGCAGTCACCCCACAGAGCCCCATTAGCCATCTCCACTGCTCGTTTCATCTGTTTGGGAACTGTTGGGGTGAGAAAGACAGCTAAGCCCCAAGGAAAAGGATTGCAGGTTGCGACCATCCCCCCTACCCAGCCCCAGGGAGCAGGAATCAGAGCTGGATGTAATAATACAAGATAAAGCCATTTGCTCCATATGGAAAGACTCTGCTGTCGGTGAGCCAAGACGCCGGTGACGGAATCGCAGGCTGTGGGGTGTAACCAGGGAACCCACGGGGCTCAGCGAGCTTCACACCGGGCTCAGGATGTTGGGTCTCCCCTTGGGCAGGCTCTGAATGCCAAAGCAGAAGGTTTTCAAGGAAAATAACCAGGAAAATGCTGCCTGGGCTGATTCATTCACAAAGGGGGCTGGGGCAGATGGAGGGAGCCAGGGAGCGCGGCTGGGCTGGAGGAGGCTCCTGGCCCCGCGAGAATGGGCTTTATTGCAGAGTTTATTAGTGGATTTTTCAATGCGCTGGAAGGAATTGAGCAACCAGTTAAAAATGTTTCCGGGCCTGGGGAAATTCGTTGCAGCTACTGTGGAATAGGGGCCCACCGGAATGACTCAGGAACACCACGGGGCCTTTCCCAGTGAATTCCTGCTTGCGGCTTTACTGGGTCAACAGGAGTCCCTTCCCCGGTTGGATCTTCTGAAACGAGATCAGTTGGGTCTTGGGGGGGCAAGAAAACACACATGTGAGTACCATGAACACAGGCACAGACGGTGCATCTGTGCAAACCTGGCACCCTCGTGCCAGCGTTGGTGTCACGTCCTGCTGTCCCCCTGCCTGCATACGTGGGCACAGGCGTAGGTGACACACGTGCACTGCCCCCCTCCCCACCTTTCTGCAGGCCTTTGCTGCCATGTGGCCCACACATGAACGTATGAATGATGCAAACACACACACACGCAGGTTCCCGTGCCAAGGCACATGGGCCACACGTGCCCCACGGACGCAGCCCTGCCTCGCCCCAGTGGGAGCTGGTGGCCACATGCTCCTTTGAAATCAGCTGTCAGAGCCGTTTGGAGTTGATGATTTCCTCATTCCTTGGTGTACTTGGCCACGCTGGCAGAGCCCGTCTGCAGGGCCATGGCTGTGCCCCAAGATGCGAAGAGAGGAGCTGCCCCCGCTCCCTCTGGGAGGTGGTGGGAAGGGCTGGACATGAGCACAACCTGGAGCTCCCTGGCCTTATCCAGCCACGGTTCTGGATAGGTGACAGTCAGACCCACAGCACACAGCCCTGCGCCCTTCTCCAGCCCTTCACAGCATAGACAGAGCCTGGGAGAGCAATGGGACCTGCTGAGGACCTGCAGGCCGGGCCAGAGCTGGGATGGGGAGACACCAGTCCTTGAGCCTGCAGCCCCTGTGGAGAGGGGAACGCTGTGGGACACGTCCCAGCCGTGGCTGCCCGGAAAATGAGCCTGGCCGAGGCTGGGTGTCCGACTGACCCCGCCACGGCACAGGCTGAGCCTTCTCTGCTGCTCCACGTTCCAGCAGCTGGAAACATCTGGCTGTGCAAGCTTGCTAAATCGATGCAGGGAGGAATCCAGCGTGCTCCTGCTGTTCCCACACTCCAGCCTCTCCCAGCAGCTTCGGTTTCGACTCAGCTCCCGCATGTGGTGGCTCGGCCAGCCCTGAGCCAGCCCCCAGCCCCCTGCTGTCCCTGGGGAACAGCCTGCAGGGACCTGGAGTCACTGCCCAGCCAGCACTGCGGGGACAGACAGTGGCACTTGAGTGCTGGCAGTGGGATGTGTGCCAGAGGTGGGCGAGCAGCTCCTCCAGTCCCGGTTTGGCCCTTTCCTGCGTGAGAGCTGCTGCTTTTCCTGGAGTCCAGAGTGACCTGGACTGTCACCCGAAAACTGGGGTGATGTCATCCAGGCATGGATGGCCAGTGGTGTCACGGGGTGAAGCTGGGGGGTGCGGGTCAGTGCCAGTGCCTTGAAACACCTGCCCCTGAGCCCTGGGGTGCAGTTTCTCCCCGTGGGTGCCCCAGCTGCAGGCGGTGCAGAGGAGGTGGCACCCCCGTGCTGGCCCCTCAGTCGGGGCAGCTGGGGACACAGCACGGGCTCGCCCCACTGCTCCTTGGATGGGGATGGCTGTGGCAGCCCCGCTGGCAGCGGCGCCCGGGGAGGAGGCGGCACCAGGCCCCAGCGCTGGCCCCGTGCCTGGGGGAATGGCTGCGGGTGGCCGTGGGGGAGGCAGCCTGGCTTTTGGGAGGGAGCCATGCCTGGGAGGAGCACGCTGTCGAGCTGGCAGGGGGTGAGAGCCGCTGCTGGCGCCAGGGGACAACAGTGGCTCTTCATCCCATCGCGCTCTGTCCTGCCCTGGTGTGCGGGGACACGGCTCTGCCGGGGTGTGCGTGCTGCGGGAGCTGGGCCCTGCGTGACAGCACCCACCGAATGGGGCCAGGGGGAAGGAGCTAAGGGTGCTGAGTCCTTCCCTGGGGACACTGGTGGTTCTTTTATTGCTTTTCCTTGAGGTTCACGTGTGTGTCCCCTCCCAAATCTCCCACTGCCCTACAGACTGCAGTGTGACAGCCGTGGACTTGGAGGCAGGCTCCTGCCCCGCCATTTCAAGCCTGAAAATCCATCTTTCCAGGCAACCCAGGCAGGGTCTGGACAGCTTTGAGGTGTCAACATGACCTTTTCTGCCTGCCCCACCACAGGGGCACAGTGTCCCCTTGTCCCTGGCTGCAGAGTGGGGTGGGTGCTGTCTCCAGCACTGAGGGCCACTCGAGCCTCCCCTGTGCCCTGGCTCTGTGTGTGCAGCCCCCTCAGCTCCATCCTTCTGCCTGGACTGTTTGTGCATCCCCATCCTGTGGCTCTGGGGACCAGTTGGAGCCTCCATGCCTTTGATTAATTCCTCCAACGTGCATGGGCCACAGTGGAGATTTAATAATGAGTTCGTAATGACTTGTGTCTTGCTGAGCCTGATTCTAAGAGCTGGGCTGGGGTGATCAGACACATGCAGGGCCGGGTGTCTTTAAGTGATGGAGTGTGCTGGCCACGCTGGGTGCCCTGTGGGCTCACCAGCCCTTTTACCTCATCCACACTGGCTTTCACCTGCTTGATTGAACCCGTCTCATCAGGGCTGTTCCTGCTTGTCACACCCTTCCAGGCTCACGCGTAAATTTGAGCCGCTTCACTGGTCTGAGGTGCTCCTGCCCAGGCCAGTGGGTTGGGCAGCATCACCCATGGGTGCTGCTTGTGGCATGGCCGGTGTGTGATGGGGACAAGGGACACAAGCCCTGCTTGAGCACTGCTGTGTGGCTGTGCCGTCGTGGGGAGCTGCTGGGGTGTGTGCTGGTGGTATCCCCCATCCCTGTGCTCCTGCAGCCAGAATGTGTGTCATTGGAGTCCCCTGTTCCTGTCAACCAGGGTGTGTGCCAGCGGTGTCCCCTGTCCCTGTGTGTCTGCAGCCAGGTGTGTGCCAGCAGTGTCCTGTGTCCCTGCGGCTGGGGTGTGTGCTGACAGTGTCCCCAGTCCCTGTGTCCCTGTGGCTGGGGTGTGTGCTGACAGTGTCCCTGTGTCCCTGTGGCTGGGGTGTGTGCTGACAGTGTCCCCTGTCCCTGTGTCCCTGTGGCTGGGGTGTGTGCTGACAGTGTCCCCAGTCCCCATCTCGCTGCAGCTCGTACGGTGCCGTTTGAAATCCCGAAGCACTGGTTGCCACGTTACATTAGGAGGAGCCACATCCCGTGTCCCTGGCGCCCGCTGTCGCTGCGGATCCACGGCAGGCAGCAGCTGAAAGGCCTGAAATCGGGGATCAAAGCCACAGTGGCACGGCTGTTAGTGCCCGGGGTGCACGCGAGCGGGACGGGCACGCAGGGGCTGGAGCCGTGGCCCTGAGCCCACAGTGCTGCCAGGGTGGTGCCAGGATTGACCCCCCCTCCTCTGTGTGGGTGTCTGTGTTCACACACATCTGTGCAGGTGTCTCTGGGAGGGGTGCACACGCTTGTGTGTATGCTCATGTGTGTGGGTGTGCCTGTGTGTATCTGCACATGCGTGCACAAGCGGTTGTGGTGTGGGTACATGCGTGTGCACATGTGGATTTTGGGAGGTAGGTGGCTGTGTGTTTTGTGTTCACACCTGTGCTGTGGCTGTGTGTTTTGGGTTCACACCTGGAGAAGCCCCAGGGCAGCCAGAGCTGGGGGATTCCCAGCCCTGGGCTGTGCCCATGGGGGGCTCAGTCCCCCTGGCTGCCTCAGCCCTCTGCAGGAGCAGCCACCTTTCTGTGAGTGAAACCTGGTGTCCTCCACCCCCAGACATCCCTTTGGTCCTGCTGGGCCCATGTCCCCAGAGTGGGGGACACCCCCAGTGCCTGGGTGACACAGGGGCAGCTTTGGGGACATTATTTTAGGACTGTTGCTCCTGCATGGCCCTATGGAGCAGGGTCACAGTGCTTCAGGCTCATCTGACTGTAGTTGGCCTCCTGTCACCTCTGTGGGTCCTGTGGCCCCCCTTGGTCTCCCCCAGCTCATCCTTTCTGGATCGGACATCCCCATCCCAGCTGCACGCTTGGGAGTGGCCGTTTGGGGTGGTGCAGCTCCAGTGCGGTGCCAACCTTGCCCTGTGCCCTCCTGGTGGACAGAGCCAGGGCTGGAGGGCATGGCCATGGGCAAAAGCCATCTGTCCATCCATCCATTCCTCCCTCCTTCCCTCCCTTTAAAGCCATCACCTTGTCTGTCCACAGACCCTGAGTCCCAGAGGAAGAGGACAGTGCAGAATGTGCTGGACCTTCGGCAGAACCTGGAGGAGACCATGTCCAGCCTGAGGGGCTCTCAGGTGTCTCACAGGTGAGATTCCAACACTGGATTCCCATCACCCCTTCCCCATAATCAGTGCCCTTCCCAGGGTATCTGGGAAGCAGTTCTAGTCCTGGTGAGGGCCATGTGGATGAGAGGGAATGAGCTGTGCCCCGTGTGTCCTGGGGACCCTGTGCATGGAGGCTTGGAGAGAAGCCCCCAAATCTGTGGCGTGTCATGTGTGGGGCTGTGTCAGACCCCTGTCCCTGACAGAGCTCTGGGACATTGGGAACTGCGGGGTGGTGTCAATGAGCAGAGATGACAGGGCAGAGAGAGGTGGGTGTGTTCCCAGTGGTTGGGTGACCCCAAGTGGACCACCAGAGGTAAGGGTATCCCCTGTGCCCACCCAGGTTTGGACCAGAGGCTCCATCCCCATCCCTGACTCAGTTTCTCTGCACTGTGTAGGATGATGATGGAGGAACCCTCAGCCAGACCCCACAAGCAGAGGTGGGGTCCCCTGGGCTGCCCTGCCCAGAATGGGGCCAGGGGATGGCAGTGCTGGGGACAGGGTGAGCAGCGTGTGGGGAACCAGAGTGTGTGTGCTCAGGGTGCTCTGACCACACCTGGGACTGCTTGTGTCCCCCTGGGTCTCTCACTTGAGCCCCTGCCAGGGTTTCTGCTCCTCTCTGGATTTGCAGAGGCTGTGTGGGTGTCAGCCGGTCGGGAGAGTGACACAACACACTTCTCCTAGAGTGTGTTGCCACCTCGTGGTCTCCCTCGATCCTGATTTTTGTCTTGGGAAGGGACAAAAAGCGGCAGCTTCCTCCCACCCTGCAGGCCCCTCTCACCATTACAGACCTTCTTGTGTCGCCCCTCAATCAACCTGGCCCAGGATGGAGCAGCCCCTTCATCTCCCTTTTCATCACCCATAATTTCTAGATCTTTGCTCATCCTTGCTGCGCTTCCCAGATCTTTTCTGAGCCAGGAGCAGCAGAGCACGGGGGGGTGGTGAGATTTGCTTGGGGCCATAACAATGTTCCCCGAGCTGGCCATTTGCTGGGATTGTCCATTTCAGCTCTGTCACCCCTTTGCTTGGCACGGGAGCTGGGTCAGAGCCTGGCACTGCCCACACCGAGCCAGGGCTGTGCCATGTTCTCTTCACCTTCATCGGTGTCAAACTCCAACCCCCTCCTCGCCCCAGCACTCGGCTCCTTCGGAAATCCTCCATCAGCTCGGGTCTTAGGGAAATAGGGCAAGGATATTAAGGGTGATTATGATTAAATTAGCATTGCTGGTGGGATTTGACTCTTCACTATCACTTCCTTTCCTTGATGAGCTCTGAGTACATCACATGGTGGAGGCCTCAGCTGCATCCCTGCCACGGACTAAAATGGGTATGGATAGCCCAGGGATCCCTACCCCTGCACTCTGTCCCTCTCAGCAGGACTTAAATATGTGAGGATCTTCCCTCTTGTCCCATAGCAGCTGAATTTATTTGGAAGGTCTATTTTATTCTGGTAGCCCATAGCAGCCTCAGCAGCTCCCTGCATTCCTCCAGGAGCTCCTTCATGGCTGTGAGCCAGATTTTCCTCTCCTAAAGCTGTGTCAGCTCTTCCCTGGTACGTTGTAATTACACACATACCCACTCATTCTGCTCTTGGGAACACTTCCTACAAGTCTGTCCAATTCAGATGTCATCTGCCATCCTCTGGGTGTGCCTGCATCACCAGTGTCCTGTAGCCACTTTGGGCTCTCTCTTTATTCCTTCCACAAACTATTCCTTAAATTTCTCTTGTTCTCCTCACTGTGTTCTTCCATCCAGTGGCTGAGGGCTCAGCCTTTACTGTTCCCTCGCTAGGATGCAAGTTGATTCCTGAAAGACGTCACTGTGTTCCTGGCAGTCTTTGCACCCAGCTGCAGGGCTGTGTGAGCTTCCTCAGAGGCTTAGAGAACCATGGAATCACAGGATCATTTAGGTTGGAAAAGGCCTCTAAGACCATCGAGTCCAGCTGCTCCCCTAGCACTGCCGTGTTCACCATGAAACCATGTCCCCAAGTGCAATATCCACCCGTCTTTAGAACACTTCCAGGGATGGTGACTCCATCACTGCCCTGGGCAGCCTGTGCCAGGGCCTGACCAGCCTTTCTGTGAAGAAATTTTCCCAGTATCCAACCTGAACCTCCCCTGACATAACTTGAGGCTGTTTCCTCTCCTCCTGTCCCTTGTTCCCTGGGAGCAGAGCCCAACCCCCACTTGGCTCCACCCTCGTGTCAGGGAGCTGGAGAGAGCCAGGAGGTCCCCCCTGAGCCTCCTTTTCTCCAGGCTGAACCCCCCCAGCTCCCTCAGCTGCTCCTGCTGCTTCAGCTCCTTCCCCATCTCAGTTGCCCTTTGCTGGACAGGTTCCAGCCCCTCAATATCTTTTCTTGTCATGAGGGGCCCAGAACTGAACCCTGTTCCTCCTGCTCGGAGATGTGGTTGGCATCTGCTCCGAGCCACCGGCAGCACATCCTCAAACGGCCTTTGTGCTGCCGACAAAAACAAAACCCTTTTAGCTGCCCCTTTTAGTTCCACTTTAACAAACTTCCTCGTTTTTTTTCTGTAGTTCCCTGTTTTAGATTCAGTGCTGCAGCCAGGGTTTGGCTTTGGGTGCTCCTGCAGGAACGTTTAATCCAAGCTAGGGAATAATTTGCTGATAATAGCATTTGGAGCCAATTTGAGGGCTGTGGGTTCCCAAGAAGCTGCTCCAAGAAGTAATCGTTTTTGGTGCCTAAATTTAGTCCCAGCATCACTGTTTGCCTAAAATATACACCGAGGGGTGTGGGGAGTGATGAAACTCCCTGTTCCTGAAGCACTCATGGGCTCTGGGATGGCTGCAGAGTGCTGTGCTTGTGGGCAGCCCCTGGGGCTGGGCCTTGGGGAGTCCCCTCCTGCCCAGACGTGGGGGTTCACTCTCCATGGGTTCAGTGTGAAATGCTGCTGCAGGGACCTGGTCCCTGGTTTGCCCCTCAGCAACCTTCTGCTCACAGCCTGGCCGGCTGCTACATCCCCTGGGATCACTGCCACCACCCCAGCTCGTCCTGTCCTGCGGGTCTGGAGTGATATTTGGGCACAGATGTTGAAGTGCTGGGAGGGAAGTGGCCAAGGAGGAGCAGCTTAGGCACAGGGAAGCATGTCTGGGCTTTCCACTGAAGGTGTCCTATTACTGGGGTTCAGCACAACTGGGGTTCAGGGCCAGGGCTGGTCTCTGGGATGGTGCTGGCCCCTCTCCCAGGTACGTTTGCTGCCAGCCCTGGTGGCACCCCTGGCCGTGCTCCAAGGTGGGTGGGCAGGGCCATGGTGGAGCATTGTCTTTGTGGGGTGACTAGGGCTGTGGGGAGGCACAGAGCCCCCATCACACCTCATATCCTGCTCCACTGTCCCTGGGGAGACAAGAGCAGCACTTAGACACTGGTGCTGTGGATGTCCCAATGGGTCCTGAACTGGGGGACACTGGGCTGTCACCAGGCAGGTTAGGAGGGGACCAGCTGAGATGAAGGGGCCCAGGCCAGTGTCCCTGTGTCCCCACTCCTGGCCTTGCCTGGCTGCCTCAAAGTGGGCAGTTTTGGTTTCTGAGCGCTTGCAGCTCCGGTTTGGGGCAGGGTGAGGCAGGGCATGGAACCTCCACTGCCCCCCATGCCCTGCCCTAACCCTCCATCCCCCCATCCTCACAGCTCCCTGGAGATGACCTGCTATGACAGCGATGAAGCCAACCCCCGGAGCGTCTCCAGCCTCTCCAACCGCTCCTCCCCGCTGTCCTGGCGCTACGGGCAGTCGAGCCCGCGCCTGCAGGCGGGGGACGCGCCGTCGGTGGGGGGCACGTGCCGCTCCGAGGGCACCCCCAGCTGGTACATGCACGGCGAGCGGGCGCACTACTCGCACACCATGCCCATGCGCAGCCCCAGCAAGCTGAGCCACATTTCCCGCCTGGAGCTGGTTGAGGCACTGGACACCGACGACGTGGAGCTGAAGTCGGGGTACATGAGCGACAGCGATCTCATGGGGAAGACGCTGACGGAGGATGACGACATCACCACGGGGTGAGTGCCCGCGCGGGGGGCCGTGCCTGGACTGGGGCTCTCCAGGAGGTTTCCCAGGAGGTGGGGGACACCTGGCACAGCGGGGATGGGTGGAGGAGCACAAAGGTCACAGCCAGTCTGTCTGGGTGCGTCATATCCCCATATCCCAGTGCTGCTGTTGCTGGGGCAACTGGGACTTCTTGGAGCTGATGGCCCCCTGAGCTGGGATGAGCTGATCTCCCAACATATGAGAATTGTCTGGCTTGATCTGGTGTTACCAGGGGGCTGAGAAAAGCATATGGTCTGTGGCTGCAGGACCCTTGAGCCAAATCCCTGCTGGAGTGAATGTTGCTGCTTTCAGAAATGCTCTCACCAGTGAGTCAGAGCTGCTTGTTGTGACCCTGGCACTGTGGGGATGTCCTGTGGCTGGGAGTGCTGGTGGCTCGTGGTGGGACAGGCTGGGTCAGTTCTCAGCACCCCAGGGACAGTGACACCGAGGTGTCACTGCTGATGGGTGGCACTGTGTGGAGCAGGGTGTGCTGCTGAGCAAGGTCCCCTCCTTTTGGGACCCTAATTGGCCTCCCTCCCCTCCACCCACGGGGCCAAGGGCATCTTCTGCCAGATGGGCACAACACAGCACACCCAGGGCTCTCGTTTTCCTTCCAGATGTGTCCAGCCCCTGCTGTGCTGTTGAGGTGCTGCTGACTCTGGCAAGGGTCCAGGGTTTGAGCATGTTGGAGGTTTCCTGTTTCAGCACAGGAGATAAATAACTCGGGCGTTTGAGCTGTCCCAGAGCAGGAGGAGGTATTTGGCCTCCTGACAGTGCTGCTCTGACTCTCCTGGGGTGCCTGTAGTCACGTCAGCTTGGTACAGAATAGATCCCAGCCCCTGGCTTTGCACCCATCCTGGGGTCAGCACTCCCCAAATATGGTCTGGAGGCACGTTTTGCAGTTGTGGAGGGGACACCCTGTTTCTGCTGCCCCTGCCATGCTCCAGCTCAGGGGTGAGAGTGTCTGTAGCACCGTCGGTGTCAGACCCATCGTTCCCACAGGCATGTGGGGTTATCTTGGGGGCTGCCCTGGGCTTGTGAACAGGGAAACCTTGTGCTGGCTCAACATGGACTCTTCTGGAGATTGTAACCCACTGCCAGAGGTGGCACATGTCACAACCTTTTGCTGCTGGCCACTGGTCCGCTGGGTAGGATGGGCAGTGAGGTGGATTTGGGCTGCCCTGGAGGGCTGGGTTCTCATCAAGGCTGGCTGTGGGGATGAGGGGCTCCACCACTCCCCATCTCCCCCCTTGTCTCATCTTGGTGCTGCTTATGCAGGCAGATGACCTTGGGGTGCCCTTGGCTTTGGAGGCACTGCCGGGAGGGGTGACCAGAACATCATTTTGTCTCCATCAGCCCCTGAGCAGGTGGAACGTGGGCAGGGGCAGGGACCCATGGTGGCTCAACCCTGCACTACTCCAGGCAGGATTTACTTCTCCTCTGGGAAGGGACAAGCTCTGGGGATGGAGCCCTGTGTGGCTGAGCCTCTGAGAGGCCCTGGCAGCACCACAGTGCCCTGGTGTGGGTGAGGCTGTCAGTGCTGCTGGGTGCCACAGTCCTTGTTCCTGTGCAGAGTCCCCAGCGTGATGCTCTGGATATACCCCGAGTTCCCTGCTGTGCTGTGCCAGGGACAGACTGGGTGCTCTGTGCTGCTTGCTCTGTGCTGGGTACCCCTCCCCAGGGTGGCAGAGCAGGATCCCTTAATCCACAGGGACATGTCCTGGCCATGAGCTATTTCACTGGGATGTTGTGGGCACACAGGGCTGTGTAGTGACCTGGTCACACCTCCGTCCCCCATGGCACCACAGCAGGACTTGGGGGAGTCCTCAGTGTGGGTAGTATGGCAGGTCTATGGGGGGACACAGGAGTGCCTTGTCCAGGGGTCTGGGCAGTGAGTGCAGAGCCAGGGCAGGAGAGCAGGGGCATCCCCTCCTACCCAGAGCCAGAAGGGACAAGGAACTGCCTTGTTGGCCAGGAGCACTCACCCTGCACAGCCCCTCATCCATCCCCCCCCTCATCCATCCCCCCCCTCATCCATCCTCCCCTCAGCCAGCACAGCCCCTCACCCAGCGCAGCCCCTCATGCAGCTTCCTCACTGGCTCTGACCTAGAAAGCCGCCACCGCCCCAGGCCCCATCTCGCGGTGCCGCTAATGCACCGGGCAGGAGCCACGTGCTGCAGATGGGGCCATCAGCCCCCAGCCCGGGCCGCGGGGCAGCGTCCCCTGCACGGCGCCGGCGCACGCCCGGGCTTGTAGGGCAGTAGGTCAGAGACGGCTCAGAGGACACGGTGACACGTCCCTGTCGGAGACGTGTGGGGCTGTGGGACGCGACCCGGCATCCCCATGGCTCGTTGGGGAAGCAGCCTGGAAGGAGCGAGGGCTGAGGTAGGTGAGGCGCTCGCTGCCCGTGGGGTGTTGGGGTGGGTTCAGCTGGGTGGGGATTGGGGTGAGCCCAGCCAAGGAGGCAGTGGGGGACCTGGGGCCCAGCTCGGAAAGGGAGTGGGATAGTCAGGTTTGAGCAGGGATTGGCTGGGGACATCCAAGCCCCCAGCAGCATTCCTGTGTCAGGATCCCAGCCATGTCCTCTCCCAGCCGTGCCTGCGTCCATCAGCGTGACACTTCCTCCAGAGGCAACCTGCAGCCAGTTTCAGGGGCTGGAGAGCTCTGGCTTTGCCCCCCAGTTCTGCAGCAACAGCAGTGGTGAGGAGCAGGAGCAGGGATGTGCAAGCCAGGTTTGGCCTGGTTTTGTTCTGGCCATGCCCTGCATGTCCAAGCGGTGCCACCACAGTGTGGCTGCACATTGTTGTGTCTCCCCCTGTGCTGTGTGCGCTCAGGACCTGTCCTGGGTGCTGGTGCAGCAGCATCCCCAGGTGTTCCCTGGGGTCATCTGGGTCACAGTGGGGAGTGAGTGGGATACTGTGAGGCTTTGCTGCAGTTGGGAGCTCTTGGGGTGCAGAGGGAGTGAGCGGGGCTGGCTGCTGAGTCAGCTCCTTCTGCTGCGGTGGCTGCAGGAGTAGTGATGGTCTGTGTGCACTGCAGGGCTGTGGCGTGGGGGCATTGCTCCAGAACCGGTCCCTGGGTCTGTGTGTGTCCCCTGGGGCTTCCAGAGTCCTGACTGGGGAGTCTTTATGTGACCCTGGGACTGCTGTGATTTGGGGATGACGTCCTTTTGACCTTGTTGATGTTGGATCCCACCACAAGTGGGACCAGCAAGTGGTGAGCCGGGTACTACCCTGACCCTGCTCATAGGTGTGAAATGGAGCTGAGACAGAAGCTTTTGGCATTGGGACCATGGGGCACGTATGTCCAGCTCTTGGCACTGTCCGAAGCCACTGTGGTGGTGCTGCTGGCAGCCAGGTGCTGCAGGGCCTGTGGTCCCCTCCAGCAGGGCTGGGGGCTGCCAGCAGCACCCTCCTTGGAGGGATGCTCTGGAGCTGACACCCGCTGTGCTCGGGCTGGCCTGGCTCTGGCTTCCTCGCAGCTCCTCGGGCTTGACGCAGCCCGGAGGCGGGAGTAGATGTTTGGCTCAGCTCCCCAGGAGCAGTGGGGGAGCGGCCGCCTTCCCCTCCTGCTCCGAGCAGGATTGGCGCTGGCGCCTGTTCCCTTCCCTTAAACGCCCCTCGCTCAGCTTTGGCCAGTCTGGGATGACCCCTCACCCCGTCCCAGCGAGCCTGTGAAGTCATTTCTCGTGGGGGACATCCCGTGGGGCACGGCTGTGGCCCTGCACGTGGTCCGGCGTGTGTGGGGGGCCCTGGCCTGGCCAGCTGGGGAGGGATGTTGGATAAATATTTGCTGGGCTGTGCCGTGTGCCGGGCTCAGTTCCTCCCATCTGGGGATGGGGGATGCTCCCAGAAGGGGGCCCCAGGACCCTGCTGGGCACCACCACCATTCTGGTGCCTTCCTCTGCCCTGCCCTTCAGTGGCTCTGTACCCTGGGGTTTGGGTCCAGGTCCCCAGTGCTAAACTCTGGCCCCCTGGGGCTGTGGCAGCGGCTGCACGAGACATATTTTGGGAAGGGGATTCTGTGCTTGTGGGACTTCGGGATGCAGGGCACCTGGGGGTCAGCACACGCCCAGGATGTGGGAAGCTGCTGGCTCTTGTGACTTGTTAGTGGGGCTGGATGCAGACACAGAGCAATGCCGAGCCCAGGGCTTGACCTCGCACGCCCACGTGCCCTGGGGAGAGCTTCTGGGGGGAATCTGCCCCCCAAACCCACCTACCAGTCTGCTTGCCATCTGGGGACCTCAAAGCCTGGCTTTGCCATGTGCCACGTGCCACCCTACTGCCTGTGGAGGGGTCTCTCTGCTGTGGGCTGAGGTGTCCGAGGTCACCGGCTTGTCCAGACGACGGGAAAAATAGGAATTTCGCAAGCGGGCTGAGTCACACTGCTCCCCACCCCGGCACTGCCCTGGGACTCTCCGAGCACCACACGCAGCCGCTGCAGCCCCCGCGTGCCGCGGTGGCCCCGACCGAGGCTTTGCATGTCCCCGTAACTGCCAGTGGAGATCCCCACACGGGACACGCTTCCTTTGGGATTCCCATTGCTCGGGTGTGTTAGAGGGGTGACCCCTCATTGTCCCCCACAGTGGGGCCAGCTGAGCTCGCAGCTGCAGTAACACGGCGGACAGGAGTGTGGTTGGGGTCCGTGGTTAGTGTCACTGCGGCGGGCAGGGAGTGCTGGGTGATCCCCCCACGGCCTCGGCCTCGCTGCCACGGGGAAATCAGACCCCACTGGTACTGTGGTTGGTGGTACAGAGCTGGGATGGAGGCACGACCTGGCCCCTGTGGTCCCCCTGTGCAGGGACCACACACATTTGGGATTCCCCTGGGGGGCCAGAGGCCAGATGCAGTGCTGCCTGGAGAAGGGGGTACTGGACCAACTGCAGGATGTGATGTGCTGATCCTTTTCTGCTGGGTGAGCTCAGGCAGGTCAGATCCCCCTTCACTACCTCAGTTTCCACATCTGCCAGGTCTCTGCAGCCCCCTGTTCCTTTGAGCACAGCTTCAGTGAAAGGTGCCAGATGCCAGTACCCGAAATCCAATCAGGAAACACCCAGGGTCAGGGTAGCCTGGCTCTCTACAGGGGCTGGCACTGTTTGAGAGGGTACCTGGGGCTTTGGGAGGGTCCTGGAAGGTGTGGAGGGGTTTAGAGGCTGTGGGGATCCTAAGGGAGTCAGGGAGGGAGTGATGAGTGTTGTGATGCCCTGAGGTGGTTTCTGATGTGGATGTGAGGGGGAAGCAGAGCCCCCCTTGCCCGTGCCCATGGGGAGCCCTCAACCCTCCCAGCGGGATTTATGAAGCTAATTGGTTTTTCTGCCCCATTAAGTGGAGGAGAGGGGGAGGGTGGGAAGAGTCCCGGCTGTGCCTGTGCTTTCCTCACTGCTCCTGCCTCAAGTCACAGCACGAGGCTGGGGCTGGGGGCATCGATGCCACAGAGCCCCCTCGGTGCCAGTGAGTTGCTGATGTGGGGTCTGGGACCCCCCTGGTGCAGACCCTGCACGTCATCCCCTGTGACAGGAGGAAGGGGTCAGGGCAGACCAGGAGGGACTCGCTTTCATCCAGGGTGGGCTTTGGGCAGGCAGTTGGGATCTGGCAGGACCAGCCTGGCAGGGACTGGGTGTCAGGAGCCCCCGTCTGGCACACGAGCAGGTGTCTGTGCCAGTGTGAGACGGGTGAAACAGGGGGAGTTTGAACCTCGGGCCACAGCAGCAACCTCTGCTGATAAATGGGCTGGGGATGCTCCTCTGCACAGGGTCAGTGCCAGGGTTGGTGCCCGTGGGGCTGCTGTGAGCAGCAGCGATTCTCTGCTGTCACCTCACAGTGGGCCCATGGCTCCAGCAGGGTCAAAGCTGCCTGTCCCAGGGGCTGTTGTGCTGGGCTATGCCAGGCTGCCTCCCCTTGCCACCCTGGATCTCCCTAGCCCAGATTTGGGCCCAGCTGAAGCTCCTCTGAGCGCTGCCCGAGCTGGCTGTGGTGGGGCTGAGGCAGCTGGCCAGCAGAAGAGGAGGGAAAGGACGGTGCCTGGCATCGTGCCAGGCCAGAGGGACCGTGGGGATGCAGTGCTGGGTAGGCTGTGCTGCCCCGTTGGCAGCTGTGGAGCTGACACCCCGCTGCGGGGCTGGCTGCCCACAGGAGGTATTGGTGACCTCACCATGAGCTCTGGGTTGGTGGGTGCAGGAAGGAGCTGATCAGTAGGGACAGGGATGGTTGGGTACCCCTGGCCAGCTGTGCCGTGCCACGCCATGCTGGGGCAAGCACTGTGCAGGGAGCGATAGGGCAGTGAGGAAGGAGCCAAGAGGCGTTGCCGTTGCTTCAAGGAAGGAATTACTTATTTCCCAGCCTGCAGGGACCGGGTCTATCTTGCTAAGGCTGCAGTTAACTCTCTCTGCCCACCGTGGCCAGGCTGGTGAAGGTGTCCCCGTTGTCACCATCCTGGTGAGGACCCTGCCCTGCAGCGTGGTTCCTGCTTTGATGTGAGAGAGAGGAAAAAGGGACAAAAATAGGGATTTTAGTTGATGAAGGGCAGAGCAGGGTGGGTGTGGGTTGCCTTACCGGGGGTGTGCACTGGGGTTACTGGGAGCAGCTGTCCCGGCACCCTCAGCGGGACCCACGGTGAGAGGTGGTGCCTTTGGGGAGGGAGAATGGGGTGCTTTGGGGGGCACTGGGGCCAGTCTGAGGGATGGCCTCTGGTGTCACATTGTGGGCTGGACTGGGGGGCCCCGGTGCTGCCTTTGGGTGTGTGAGTGATGGCCTGGGGGCTCCGGGGGCAGCTGGGGGGAGACGTTGGGCTGAGGTTGGGGGACACCAGTGGACCAGGCTGGGGGGTAGGATGTGGAGGCACGGTCGCGGGGCGGGAGGCTGGGGCGGGCGGGGCTGAGAGCCGGGACCCCGGGCCCGTCCCGGCGGGGTCGAGGCGGGGCTGGGGGACGGCGGAGAGGGGCCCGGTGCCGCTGCCGCTTTAAGGCGCGGGCAGCGGGGCGGTCCCACCGCCCTCCGCCCCTCTCGGCCGCCCGGCGGGGCCGTGCCGTGCCGCGCCGCGGGCAGCACGATGCTGCGGGCAGGGAGGCCGCGCCGCGCCCCGCGCCTCACCAGCAGGTACCGCACGGGCACGGGCACCGCACCAGCACCGCACCGGGCGGGCGGGGGCGCGGCCGGAGCGCGGCCCCGGCAGACAAAGCCCCGCGCCCCGGGGCCGCTCCGCGGGCGGTGCTTTGTCTCGGCCGCGCTGGGGGGAGCGGGGGGGGAGAGAAAAGGGGGGGGGGGGTCAGGGCAGCGCGGTCGCGCCCGGGACCGCGACATCGGGGGCGTCGGGGGAGGGCTCCCTTGGGCATCCCCATCCTCCGCCCCGGCCCCCGCCCCGCACCTGCAGCGCGGCCGGGCCGAGCCCCCGCGGGCCTCCCGCGGATCCGGTGCCCCCGGCCGGCGGTGCCGACCCCGGGGCTGCCGAGCAGGGCGCTCCGAGCCGGGGCGCGGCCGGGGTGGAGCGCAGCGGAGCATCCCCGCGCACCGCGCCGAGGGGGCAGGTCCATCCCCCGCTCCCTGCCGGTGCAGCCGCCTCTCCGGGCCGGGGATGGGGCCGGGGTCCGCATCCCCGGGGCCGTGCCGGGGCCATCCTGCGCGCGGTGGGTCCCATCCTGCTCCCGGTGGGTCCCGCCCTCCCGCCAGCGCCGCGGAGCGCGGCAGGACGGACACGTTGCCCTTGAGCATCCGCGTCCCCGGGAGCTGCCGCGGGGCTGCCTGCGGGTGGGTTCGGTGCGGGGCCGGGAACTGGGAATGGCTTTGGGTAAGATGGAGAGAATAGAGCACAAAGCAGGGGGTGACACTGCGACATGGCTGCCCCCCGTTTGGGGGTTCGGGGGGCACTCGGGGTGCCAGGACTCGGCTTTGCTCCATGAGATTGTGCTCGCCAAGGGGCCAGTGGTGCTGTGGTTGAGGCTTTCCTTGCTGTGCTGCCTATGGCATACACGTGCCAGTTTGGGGGATCCCTCACTGTGCCAGCCATGTGTCTCATGAGAGAGTCAGAGTCACCCTCACAGAATGCAGCTGGCTCCCAAGCAGCACCCCAGGCTTTGAGTGGTTTTGGGATGTCACCTGTGACCTTCCATATTGTCCTTCCTTGGTAATGGGTTTCCAAGGAGGATCTGGGGTCACCTCCTGCCCCAGCTCAGCCTCAGACCCTGTGCCCCTTTCCCTGTTTCCCTCTGGGAGCCTGCGGTCAGGGCAGCAGGGGTATCCCATATGTGACTGGGAGAGTGTTTGGGGTTTCTCTGCCAGGTCCCAAAAGCCAAGCTGAGGTACCCAACAATCCGTGTAGCCCCAGCCATGTCCCTGCAGGACGTGGCTCTCCTGAAGCCTGGCCTTGCTCCCAGTGCTGGCTGCTGGGAGAGGAGCTTTGCTGCGGGTGGGGATTGCTGTCCTGGTGGGAAGTCACCCCCAGCACAGGGCTGGTGGTGGGAGATGCTTGGAGCTGAGCAACTCAGCAGTACATCCCATGCACACTGTCTTGGTGAAATCCCTTCCTGGGCAGCAGCACCTGTGGGTTCTGTCCAACCTGTGGGGATGCAGGGGGCTGTGTGTATCCTGGCTCTGACCACTCTCTGATGAATTCTTTCCTGATGGAAAGAGCAGGACACACAGTGCTGGTCATAGGGTGCTGGAGCTGCCTATGTTGCTCCATCATGGGCTTTGGGGCATCCTGGAGGGGATGGTAGTGACTGTTGCTTGTGCCCTGGCACTGCATTTGGCACAGGTGCCCTCTCCTCTGCGTGGCCATGCTGCTCTGTCCCCAGAATCAGAGTGTCACTTGAATGACACAAAATGGCTTTACCAGCTGGTGGGTCTCTTGTATTCTCTGGGCTTCTCCTGCACCTCTCTGGCCCCAGTGTGGACAAACAGGCATCTCCAACAGGGACTGGGGTTGGCTGCAAGCCCCCAGCTCTGCTCCTGCACTGCAGCTTGTCACAGAATCATGGCATGGTTTGGGTTGGAAGGGACCTTAAAGCTGGTCTTGTTCCACTCCCTGCCATGGGCAGGAACACCTTCCACTAGACCAGATTGCTCCAAACCTTGTCCAGCGTGGCCTCGAACACTTCCAGTGGTTGGGCAGCCACATCTTCTCTGGGCAACCTGTTTCCAGCGTTTCCTCCCCCAGGCTCTCACTGTGGGGGCCTCCCTGACCTACTCAGCTGCTGACCTGAAAGGGGCCGTGCTCATCGTGCTGGAAGGTGCTCCGTGCCCGTCTGTACCGGATCGCCGCGGGCACAGCCCCGCGCTGCGGAGCCGGCTGGGCCCGTGGGGCACCCAGGCAGCTGCTGGCCCGGCATGGCGCTGACTGACGGCCCTGCAGATGGGGCCGTGCACGGCGCTGACTGACGGCCCTGCAGATGGGGCCATGCACGCTCGGCTGAGCCCTGGCACGGAGCAGCCGCCTCGGCATAGCAGCGGTGCCCGGACCTGCTGCCTGTGGCTGCTGGGAGCTGGAGGGGGGGAGCTGGGTGCAGTGGGTGGGGGCCACCCAAGGAAGGGTGGATGCTTTGGGACGACATGTTTGTTTATTCCAGCGGTCCTGCCCTTTCCGACAATCCCAACCCTCTTGGCGGGGCACATCGCAGGGGGTTTGGTGCCAGCTGTGGTGCTGCCAGCCCTGTGGTGTGGGTGCTGACTTCCCTGCCCTGCATGGGTACCCTCCCTCCCCTCCAAAATCCCCACAGGGCCCTAATGGGGAGATAAATGGTCACTGGGGCTTGTGTGCCTATGGGCCACTGATGCCATTCTGGGCTGGCTGGAAATAGGTGTGACCCCTGCCTACCTCGTTCCTGCCACGGCACTACCAGGAGCTGGTTTTTGCCCTGGCAGCCCCTGGAGCAGGGAGCTCCTGTAGGTGGTGGGACCCACTGGGCTGGGCAGGGATCTGATGCTGTCTGTCCCTTGCAGCTGGGATGAGAGCAGCTCCATCAGCAGCGGCCTCAGCGATGCCTCTGACAACCTCAGCTCGGAGGAGTTCAACGCCAGCTCCTCGCTCAACTCCCTGCCCTCCACCCCCACTGCCTCTCGCAGGAACTCGGCCATAGCGGTAGGTGCCAGCGGCACCCAGACCCTTCCCGGCACTGGTTCCGAGCTGGTGCCACTGCCTCGGCAGGAAAGAGGGGATAGAGTATGCCAGTCATAGAAAACAGGCATGGCACAGGGTGTCTGGTGCATCCTTCTCCCAGCTGGCTTTCTGGGGATGGGTTTGGGGTGGGTGCCAGGAGCGCCCCTGACTCCACTCTGCCCACAGCTGCGCACGGACTCGGAGAAGCGCTCGCTGGTGGAGAGTGGGCTGAGCTGGTACGGTGAGGGTGAGGAGAAGGCGCCCAAGAAGCTGGACTACGACAGCAGCAGCCTCAAGATGGAGCATGGCTCCTCCAAGTGGCGGCGGGAGCCCTCGGATGGCGGCGAGGAGGGGCCCAAGGGCGGCGAGCTGAAGAAGCCTGTCAGTCTGGGCACCCCGGGCTCCCTCAAGAAGGGCAAGACCCCTCCGGTGGCCGTGACCTCCCCCATCACCCACACGGCCCAGAGCACTCTCAAAGTGGCAGGTGAGACCCAGTTTGGGCAGGGTCCAGCTTCTCCAGTGGGGAGAGGGTTAGGTGATGTCTTTGTGCACCTTTCCGAGCACATCAGCCACAGGATGCCCTGTGCCTGTGCTCAGTCCCAGGAGCTGGGGGTGGGCTGGAGGCAGGGACGAGGCTGTACATCCCTACAGGCAGGCTGGGGGTCTGTGCCTGCTCCATGGCCTTGAGTCCACGTGCCAGGCTGGGGGCTCGCTGGGTGCACTGTCGACCTGGCATGTCTCTTCTTCTCCATCACACCCCTGCATCTCTGATGCGCATATCCTATCTGGGTTAGTTCACTCCCAAATGTCCCCAAAGCCTCCCAGGACACTAACCTGTCCTTCCCTGCCACTAGGCAAGCCTGAGACCAAAGCCACTGACAAGAGCAAGCTGTCTGTGAAGAGCACGGGCCTGCAGCGCTCCTCCTCCGATGCCGGCCGTGACCGCACCGCTGATGCCAAGAAGCCCCCGTCGGGGCTCACGCGCCCCTCGTCCTCCAGCTCCTTTGGCTACAAGAAACCAGCCCCTGCCACCGGCACGGCCACCGTCATGCAGGCTGGGGGCTCGGCCACGCTCGGCAAGATCCAGAAGAGCTCCGGCATCCCCGTCAAGCCAGTCAGCGGGAGGAAAACAAGCCTGGATGTCTCCAACGCGGCTGAGCCCGGGTTTATGGCCCCAGGGGCTCGCACCAACATCCAGTACCGCAGCCTGCCCCGGCCCGCCAAGTCCAGCTCCATGAGCGTGACCGGGGGCCGCAGCGCAGCCCGGCCCGTCAGCAGCAGCATAGACCCCAGCCTGCTGAGCACCAAGCAGGGTGGCATCTCGGTGTCACGGCTCAAGGAGCCCTCCAAGATCAGTGCCGGCCGTGGGACACCGGCCCCTGTGAACCAGACAGACCGCGAGAAGGAGAAGGCCAAGGCCAAGGCGGTGGCACTTGACTCTGAGTGCGGGACACTGAAGAGTGTCAGCTCACCTGAGAGCACCCCGAAAGCCCAGGCCAACCTCCCACCGGCAGCCAAGGTGTCTGAGCTGCCCCCCACACCTCTCAGGTATGGTCCTTCCACGCCTGAGGGCAGCAGGTGTCCGGCATGGCTGTGCTCATCACCGGCACCTGAGTCTCACCTGTTTCCCTACCCATTTTCCCCCTCCAGAACGGCTGCCAAGACCTACGTGAAGCCTCCCACCCTAGCCAACTTGGACAAAGTCAACTCCAACAGCCTGGACTTGTCCTCCTCCGGCGAGCTGCACCCCCCTCACACTGCCAAGCTCCAGGACCTGCACCCGGCCGGCGGGCACCTGGCACCCTGCTTCAGCCCCAGCCCTGCCCCCATCCTCAACATCAACTCGGCCAGCTTCTCCCAGGGCCTGGAGCTCATGGGCGGCTTCAGCGTCCCCAAGGAGGGCAGGATGTACCCCAAGCTCTCTGGCCTGCACCGCAGCATGGAGTCCCTGCAGATGCCCATGAGCCTGCCCAGTGCCTTTTCAGGGGGCAGCACCACCACCCCCACCCCTGCTGCTGCACCCGCTGCCAGCACAGAGGAGGAGGAGGAGGAGGAAGAGGCAGGGGAGCTGGGCTGGAGTGGAAGCCCCCGGCTCACACATCTGGACAGGTATGGCTGGAGGAAGGGTTGGGTCTTTGGGGCACCTCCATGGGCTGAGATTTGTCCCTGCTGTCCTGCCGTGACCTTTGCCTGCTTCAGAGCCTCTCCCTGCTACGTTTCTGGGGAAAAGCCCCCTATCCCTGCAGCTCAATCTCCATGGCTCCTTCCCTCATCTCTGCAGAGATGTCATTCAGTTTTTCCTTCCCTTCCAGTGCCAACCGCGACAGGAACACCCTGCCCAAGAAAGGGTTGAGGTAAAAGAGCCCAAATCACTTTTGGATGGTGCTGGGGAGGGAGAGAGGGCGTGTAATGCTTTCCAGGGCAGTGCCCCTGAGCTGAGGAGTCTGGGCCACAGCACAGTGGGCAGGATCTGGGGCGGTGCTGGTCGATCTCACCGTGCCTGTCTGCGGCTCCCCAGGTACCAGCTCCACTCCCAGGAGGAGGCCAAGGAGCGACGCCACTCGCACGCCATCAGTGGGCTCCCAGAGTCGGACGAGCAGCAGGACCTGCCCTCGCCCCCTGCCCTCCCCATGGCGCTGGTTGGGAAGGGTCCACTCACCAGCATCGGTCAGTGCCCTCTGCTGCCGGCCCCCAGCTCCCTTCCCTCCTTCTCCCTGTGCTCCCCTGGTGCCTCCCTGGGTGCTGCTTTTCTCCTTGCCCTCGCTCAACACCCTGGTGCTTTTGGTGCTGGGTTGGGACCAGGAATGTCCATCACCTCTGCTTCAGGGCATCTCATCCACCTTCGGGGCTCAGTCTGTGGTCTCTGCTCCTCTGAGTATGCCCAGTGGGGCAAGGGGTGAGCCCTGCCCTGCTCTCACCAGGAGCTGCATGTTCCTGGCAGGTCTGTGGGGTCCAGACAGACAGGTTGGGACAGCAGGCTGGGCTTCTGCACCTGCAGGTGATGGTCTCTGGCATGGTGGTGCCCACCTGGCCCTGGAGTGATGGATTTGTTTCTCAGCCCTGTGATTACCGTGGTGCTAGTGCCCAGGTCTTCCCAGCATCAACCTGCCTTTTAGCTTTCCCCCACCCCCTTCCTGCTTTGGGACCACAATCCCTGCTTCCTCCCTGCATCCCAGTTCTTGTGGATCGCTCCCAGCCCTGCTTCCCCATCCCGATCCCAGGTGCCCAGTGTGACTCTGACCCTGCTTCCTCCCCGCTTTTCTCCTTGCAGTGAGCCCCACTGCCACCGCAGCCCCGCGGATCACCCGCTCCAACAGCATCCCCACCCACGACTCCACCTTCGAGCTGTACAGCACCTCCCAGATGGGCAGCACCCTCTCCCTGGCCGACAAGCCCAAGGGCATGATCCGCTCGGGCTCTTTCCGGGACCCTGTGGACGATGGTGAGAGTGTGCTACGCTCCTGCCCAGGCAGAGGAGGCTCCAGGATGGTGGTGGGGCTCCCTGCGCACTTGTCCCTTTCTCCTGGTGCTACAGCACTATCAGAGGGGTCAGTGCATCCCATCCTTGGCATCAGAGCCCTGAGGGGCTGGGTGGGCTCCTCTGTGCTGGCATCTGCCCCGGGGCCACAGCCCACCCTGACCCCCATGGATGTCCAGTGTCCCTGGGTTGGCCCCAGGGTGCTGTGGCACTGGGGAGGAGGGAACCCAAGCAGCTGGGGACTGTGACAGAGCCCCTGAGCTCAGCCAGAGAGGAGGGTGCAGGTGGAGAGTGTTCCCTGCCATGTGCCCAGGGAGTTCAGCAGCCACGCAGCAAGAGGTGGACAGTGCTGAGCAGCTGCCATCCCACCCTGTGCCTACCCCAGGCCTCTCAGAGCCCCCCACCACTGAGAGCCCTGTCCCCTGCACCCTGCTGTGCCTTGACCTGCAGCCCCTGGGGTGCCACTGTCAGAGGCACCCTGACACCCTGGATTTTGCTCTGTTGCAGTTCACGGATCGGTGCTGTCCCTGGCCTCCAGCGCATCCTCCACCTACTCCTCCGTAAGAGCTGCCTCCGTGCTGCGCTGCTTTGTGCATGGCTGTGGGGTGTGGGTGGGATCGGGGGGGGGCTCTGTGCATGCCTCTGCCTGGTGCTGAGCCTGTTCCATGCCTCGCTGTCCCCCTGACTGCCTGCCTCTGTCTGTCTGTCTGTCTCTCTCTGCTCTCACGCTGCCAGGCTGAGGAGAAGATGCAGTCTGAGGTGAGCCCGCGCCCTCTGCTCATGCCCGCTCAGACCCCTGGCGAGGGTAAGCACCCAGCCCCTCTCATCCCTCCGCTCTCTCCCCACAGCAAATCCGGAAGCTGCGCCGTGAGCTGGAGTCGTCGCAGGAGAAGGTGGCCACGCTGACGTCCCAGCTGTCTGCCAATGTGAGTCCCCACGGGAGCCTCTGCGGGCCACACCGCTCCGTCCCTGCGGGGCACAGGGCGTGTGCTGGATGTGCCCCTGGGAGCCCCGATTGCCCCCTTCAGCCTCTTGCATCCCACACCTGGCAGTGGGTGCTGACCCAGCTGTAGGTGTTGACCCAAACGTGGGGTTTTCCACGTTTTTCCCCTTCTCCCAGGCCAACCTGGTCGCAGCCTTTGAGCAGAGCCTGGTGAGCATGACATCCCGCCTGCGGCACCTGGCCGAAACTGCCGAGGAGAAGGTGGGTGCTGTCGGGGTGCTGAACGGGCACTGAGGGGGCTCATGATGGGGGGGGTTGCTATACTTGGGGGATGCTGCAGATATGTCTGTCCCAAGAGTGCTCTTGGGGTGGGCCCTGTACCTTCGGGATGCACTCCATGGCTCCCGGCTCTGCTCCCCCAGGACACGGAGCTGCTGGACCTGCGAGAGACCATTGACTTCCTGAAGAAAAAGAACTCAGAGGCCCAAGCTGTGATCCAGGGTGCCCTGAATGGCACTGATGTCACCCCCAAAGGTAAGGCATGATGCTGCAGCTCCCCACCTCCACAGGGATGCAGCCCTTCCTGAGCCAGGGCTGCTCCTGCTGGGGCTGGCGCAGGGTCCCAGGGCACGCTCACTCATAGGGGGAGCTCACATGGCAGCAGGGTTCCCTGGGCAGCAATTCTTTCACACATGAGACCCCTGAGGATCTGAAGCCAGGGTTGGACAACCAGAGCTGTCACCACAGCAAGTCTTGGTGCTTGTGTGTAGGAGAATGGGGTGGTCATGCTCTTTGGGGCATGCTCTTGCCAGGCCTTTTACTGACTGCCAGTTTTGGCTGCTGATCTTGACTTTGTTCCCATAAATGCTGTTTCAAGCCCCAAAACCCCAGTGTGAGTGCAAGGTGCTGGCAGGGAGGTTGACTGGGGCAGCAGCAGGATGATGGGTGCTCTGGGCATCTCTCTGGGCTTTGAGGCAGTGCCCATGTGGTGTCTGAGCCCCACATCATAGTTATGAGGAGAGCTCAGAAGGTGTTGGGTGGGAGGAGGGACAGGGTGCAGGGAGGGGGGTGCAGGATGCTCTGGTACTGGGGCAGTTGCAGGTGGCTGATCCCTCCTTTTGCAATCTCTTCTGCTTCCCTGGCTGACCCCAGAGCTGCGCATCAAGCGACAGAACTCCTCCGACAGCATCTCCAGTCTCAACAGCATCACCAGCCACTCCAGCATCGGCAGCAGCAAGGACGCCGACGCCAAGAAGAAGAAGAAGAAGAGCTGGGTGGGTTGGATGGGGCGTTTGGCGTGAGCCACAGGGCTTGGGGAGCCACTGGCAGGGTCTGCTTGGGGTCAGCCCCACAAACCAGCTGCTCTCAGTCTACCTTGGCTTCGTGGTGTTGGTCTCCTCTGTCCCCTGGGGACAGCAGTGATGAGGAGTGTGTAACCACCATGGACACGTTGGCTGGGACTTCTCGTGCCCCGCTGGCCCTGGCTCTGCATGCCTACTTCCTTGTGTTTTCCCCCTGTCACCCTCCTGCCTGCAGGCTCTGGCAGTGTGGGGGGCTGGACACTTCAGCCAGGCAGCCCCTTCCCTGCACCAAGCAGCTCCGAGCTGGATGTGTGATTAAGTCTTGCTTTGTTTTGTTTCTCTCCCCCTATGCTGACCTCAACCCTTTTTTTCCAGGTGTACGAGGTAAGTCCCACACCGTCCCCTCCACCACACGCTGTGCCCGGCCAGGGCCCCTGCTCCATTTCATGGGATGGTGCTCATACACTCCCCATCCCATCCATCCCACTGGCACTAACCCCAGCACAGGCCATCCTGGATCCCCAGCCGGGTTGTGCCCACCTTGGCTGCTTCCTTGGTTGCCAAGGCCAAACAGGCACCCACGAGAAGGGTTTGAACTGCCCGGAGGCAGCAGGATGGGACCTGTCCCCTGGATGGGGACAATCCCCTTCTTGCCTAGGGGAGGCAGGCACTCTCCTGACTCTCTGTGACTGGATATTTTGGGATGGGGATCTCCCTGTAGCCCTGCCTGTGGCACTGGGGGCACTGGGTTGGGGCACTTGCCCATCTCTGTATCTCCAGGGCTACCTGATGTGGCCCTGAGTGCCTCTGTCCCTGCCAGTACCCATGTGGGTCCCAGTGCTCCCCTGCTCCCACCATCAGCAGAGCTGGATACCCACTTTTTTTACACTGAAATGCAACGATTTTGATTTTTGGGTCACCCCAGAGCAGCCTGCCGGGTGCCTGTGGGGGTTGGGATGGATCCTGTGTGTTGTCCATCCCTTCTTCCTCCCACCTCCCCTCAGAGCAGGCCCTGGCGCTCACAGTGTGAGCTTGGGGTGCCTGTTCCTACTGCTCTTCCACAGGCTGATGGAACCCAGATCCAGTTTGGTCCCTGTGCAGTGTCTCTTGTCCTCCCTGGCCTCAGGCTCACCCACCCTGTGCTCTGTGTGTGCTGTGTGCATGCTGCATGCCCAGCTGGGACCCCGGGACCCCCCCAGAGGGCTGGCAGCCCTTCTCTTCCAGCAGGGCCTCTGGTGCAGAGGGAGGTGTGGGGCAGGGCCCAGCTCTGCAGTGGCTGGAGTGAGGGACGTCCCCCTTAAACACTGCTTGCTGGGATGACTGTGGTGGGGTGAATGTGAGCATGGATCAGCCTGTTCTGATGAACTGGGCTGCTGGTGCCGTGCCTGGACGTCCCAGTGTAGGTGCTGGTGGGGAGCAGGGTCGGGAGATGTTGTGTGTGGATGTGGGTCTTTGGGTCTCTGGTGCCACCCAGGCTGGGATGAGTGTTCCCCAAAGGGCTGTGCACCCCATCCTTCTGCTGTGCCAGCAGAGTAGGGTTGGGCTGGAGCCCAGCATGGTGGTGGGGCACAGTGCTCGGTGGTGGGTGTGGTAGCACTGGTCCCAGCTCAGACTTTTCTGTGGGCTCTGGGCAGATGGGGCAGAACCAGGCCAGGTCTCTGCTTTTGAGGCTGGACTGTCAGGCTGTCTCTAACAAGAACATTTCCCTTTCCTGTAGCTACGCAGCTCCTTCAACAAGGCTTTCAGTATCAAAAAGGGCCCCAAATCAGCCTCATCCTACTCGGACATCGAGGAGATCGCCACGCCTGACTCCTCAGCCCCCTCCTCCCCCAAGCTGCAGCACGGCTCCACAGAGACTGCCTCACCCTCCATCAAATCCTCCACCTCCTCTTCCGTGGGCATCGACACAGCTGAGTATGTGGGGCCAGAGAGGGCCAGTCCTGGGGGCTGCAGGCTCCTGCCCTGGGTGTGTGCAAGACATGGTGTCTCCCTTGGCCCAGGCTCTTCCAGGCCCACAACGAGGGCGAGCCAGAGAAGAAGGAGGTGTCTGAGCTGCGGTCAGAGCTGTGGGAGAAGGAGATGAAGCTGACAGACATCCGCCTGGAAGCCCTTAACTCGGCCCACCAGCTGGAGCAGCTGCGGGAGACCATGCACAACATGCAGGTGAGGAGCCCTACCAGGAGCCTGGCTGCTCTCAGTGCCTGGGTGCCCACAGTCCCTGTGCCCCCACCAGGGTGCTGCTGGCATCCAGCTCCTCACCCTGTGCCCTGCCTGCTTCTCTCACAGCTGGAGGTGGATCTCCTGAAGGCCGAGAACGACCGTCTCAAGGTGGCCCCGGGGCCCTCGGCAGTGCCAGGCTCTGTTCCCAGCCACATCACGAGCACATCGGCCTCCTCTTCACCGCGGCGCTCCCTGGGCCTCACCCTTGGCCATGCCTTCAGCCCCAGCCTGGGGGATGCAGGTGGGGATGACAGAGCTGCTGGCAGACAGGGAAGGGCTGGGACAGGGAGGTGTGTGAGGTGGGAACGTGTTGCTGCTCACCTGGAGTGAGCAGGGGATCTGTTGTGCTGCTGATGCCACCAGTGGCCGCAGCAGGATTTGGCTCTGTCTGGGCAATGGCTGGGCCCTCCCTGCTGGCACAACCTCACTGCTCTGTCCCCAGATGTGTCCCCAATGGACGCTGTCAGCGCTGGCGCCCAGAAGGACGAGCTGACGCTGCGGATTGTGGTGCGCATGCCGCCCCAGCACATCATCAAGGGGGTAAGTGTGGGCTCTGTGGGGACCCTGACCTGTCCCTGTGTCGTGGCTCTGGCTAAGGGCCTTCTCAGGGGTTGGACATAGTGCTCCAATGCTGCACACCTCTGCCTTGGCTCCTAGGACCTCAAGCAGCAGGAGTTTTTCCTGGGCTGGACCAAGGTGAGCGGGAAGGTGGACTGGAAGATGCTGGATGAGGCTGTCTGCCAGGTCTTCAAGGTAGGAGCATGAGGAGCCCTCTTGGAGAGCCATCCTTTGATACTGCTCCACCATGTTTGGTGCTCTCTGGCCCAGGTCCTCCTGAGCTCTCTTGGAGCTGCTCTCTGACAGCCCTCGGGGCACTGACAGCTCTGTCCTTCTCCACGTAGGATTACATCACCAAGATGGATCCTGCATCCACGCTGGGGCTCAGCACCGAGTCTGTCTACGGTTACAGCATCAGCCACATCAAGCGGGTGCTGGACGCAGAGCCACCAGAGCTGCCGCTGTGCCGCCGGGGCCTGACCAGCATCGTGGTGACCCTCAAAGGTCAGTGTGGCAGAGGGGCTCTGTTGCTACGCCACGTCCGTGCTCTCTCACGGTGTCACGGCGCGTGAGCGGGACCCTCAGCCCTCCTCTGCCCGCAGGCTTGAAGGAGAAGTGTGTGGACAGCCTGGTGTTCGAGACACTCATCCCCAAGCCCATGATGCAGCACTACATCAGCCTCCTGCTGAAGCACCGCCGCCTCATCCTCTCGGGGCCCAGTGGCACCGGCAAGACCTACCTGACCAACCGCCTGGCTGAGTACCTGGTGGAGCGCTCGGGTCGGGACGTCACCGAGGGCATCGTCAGCACCTTCAACATGCACCAGCAGTCCTGCAAGGTGAGGGCAGCAGTGTCCCTGCTGACGCCGCTGCTGCCGCCGCGCTCCCTGTGGCCGTCCTGCCGTGTCCCCGCGCCTGACACCCAGCCCCGTGTGTTGCAGGACCTGCAGCTGTACCTGTCCAACCTGGCCAACCAGATCGACCGGGAGACAGGCACGGCGGACGTGCCGCTGGTGATCCTCCTGGATGACCTCAGCGAGGCGGGCTCCATCAGCGAGCTGGTCAACGGCGCGCTCACCTGCAAGTACCACAAATGGTGAGAGCCCCCCGCACCCTTCCAGCGCAGCCCCCCCAGGCACACACGTGCTCCTGGTGACATCCCTGGGCTATGGGGATGAGACTGCACGTGTCTGCCGCGTCCAGATCAGCTCTGCCACGGGCAGGGGTGACACGGGGGCTTTTTCTCATGGATCTTGTCTGTCACTCACTCAGCCCGTACATCATCGGGACCACCAACCAGCCCGTGAAGATGACCCCCAACCACGGCCTCCATCTCAGCTTCAGGTGGGAATTGTATATCCCTGGTGACCAACCCTTGTGGAGTTGTGGAGGACAGAAGCCATCACTCACCACTGGGCAGTTCTGGGGTCACATCCTCTGACTGGGGGGCAGTTATGAGGGCTGAGCCCCAGGCCTGTCCCTGCCACCCCAGCAGGCCCTGAATCCCCAGCCTCGGGCACATGCAAGGTTGAGGGTGTGAGGACGTCCCCTGAGGGTGCTGGGGAGTAGGGCAGCTTGCACAGAGAGCCAGCCCTGACCACCTGAGTCCTTCCCCTAGGATGCTGACCTTCTCCAACAATGTGGAGCCAGCCAACGGCTTCCTGGTGCGCTACCTGCGGCGGAAGCTGCTGGAGTCGGACACAGACATCAATGCCAACAAGGAGGAGCTGCTGCGGGTGCTGGACTGGGTGCCCAAGCTCTGGTACCACTTGCACACCTTCCTGGAGAAACACAGCACATCTGACTTCCTCATTGGTACGGCCTTGCCTCACCTCCCTCCTTTGCCCTGCGCTGTGGGGAGCCCCCAGGGACTGGGGCCAATCCCTCCCAGAGGAGCTCAGGGGTCTGACAGGCTCCCTGTGTCCCCCAGTCCCACACAAACGCAGCTGGTGGGTGATGCACGCAAGCATTGCTCTTCACTGGGTGGCCTCTGTTCCTGTGGGAGACGTCCCTGGGGTGTTAGCCAAGGCTGCCTGTCCTCGCACTGCCCTGGGAGCCAAGGAGCATGGAGGAACTCTGTTTTCCTGGGTGGATCCCCCATGCCTTGCCATGCTTTTAGGGATAGATTGAACTTGGCAACCCCATTCCTTGCCTGGGAGATATTTGCCCACTGTGCCAGGTGGATGCTGCCCGGACACTGCTCCCAGGGCACCCTGCCAACCAGGTGTGCCCACCTTGGTGCTGTGAGCCATGGGGCCAGTGACTGCCCAGGAGCAGGGAGACCCAGCTCTCATTTCCACTGTCTGCCTCCCCCCTGCAGGTCCCTGCTTCTTTCTGTCCTGCCCCATTGGAATTGAGGATTTCCGGACCTGGTTCATCGACCTGTGGAACAACTCCATCATCCCTTACCTGCAGGAGGGGGCGAAAGATGGGCTCAAGGTACCCAGTGCTGCTGGCACGTGGGAACACGAACCAGTGCAGGGACGTGCTGGTGCAGCCACGGTGGGGAAAGGGGAGGTACTGGGACTGTGGGTGCAGGTGACATCTCTGTCAGTCCGTGCCATGTGGCTGCTGTGGGACATAGCACTGTCCTGGGGGGCTCAGGGTGCCACATCACTGGCTCTGCCGTGTGCTGAGGAATCGGCTACCACTTACTCCCTGCCACAGGTCCACGGGCAGAAGGCGGCCTGGGAGGACCCCGTGGAGTGGGTGCGGGACACTCTGCCCTGGCCGTCAGCGCAGCAGGACCAGTCTAAGCTGTACCACCTGCCCCCACCCACCATCGGGCCCCACAGCGCTGTGTCCCCCCCCGAGGAGCGCAGTGGCAAGGACACAACGCCCAGCTCCCTGGACTCAGACCCACTGGTAGGCCGGGCACTGTGGGTGGGCTTGGAGGGGCTGGTGGAGGGGGCAGAGCAGGGTGGAGCTTTGCTTTCCCACTTAATTTCAGCGTAAAAAGCCCAGCCTGTGGATGCAGAGGCACTTTGCACTCCCAGGAGGAGCAGGGGGTGCAGGGTGGTGGCGCTGGCAGGTGGGCTGCACACCAGGGCACGTGGTGATGTGCCAGTGAATGGGCATGGTGTGACACTCCACAAGGCATTGTGTCCACATGCAGACCCACACAGGGGCACACGTGTGCTCATGTATGTCCTGGCATGTCACCCGGAGAGGCTGCTGGCTGGCTGGCTGCCGCAGGGGATGCGTGGTGATGATGCTGTGGCACACTGAGCCTTGAGCATCCCTTGAGCCGGGATCCTGGTGCAGGGGGGGGATTTTGCAGCATCCTGGGATTTGCTTTACCCTTTAAGGAGCTTCCCAGCATAGGTGGTTTGTCAAGGAGGGCAAGGAGGGCTGAGTGGCCTCCCCAGGCACTCATGGGCCTCCCATCCCCTTCGGGCTCATGCCACGCTCCTGTTCCCACAGATGGCCATGCTGCTCAAGCTCCAGGAAGCCGCCAACTACATCGAGTCTCCAGACCGTGAGACCATGGTGGACCCCGACCTGCAGTCGACTCTGTGAGGCCCGGACATGCCAGCCCAGGCAGAGGGGAGCTGCCAGCCACCGCTCCTGCTGGGCTGCTCTTCTTTCCCTTTGGCATCCAGGAGCGCGGGGCTGGCGAGCGAGCAGAGAGGAGCAGGGCTCCGGCGTGTCCTGGCGGAGCGTGGGGAAACTCGGCTCATCCACAGGGAGAGCGCGAGGTGCCATCTCCCCTCCCGACTCTGGGGGTAGGAGAATCCTGGTTTCTCTTCTTGGGTTTTTTTTTTTTCCTGTCTCTATTATAAACTCTTGGGCTTTGGGACCAGGGCGACCTCTGCGGCCATGCCCCTGCCCCTGGGAGCTGCAGGAAGGCCCCTGCGTGGGGCAGGGACCCCGCGGGAGCCGCCTGGGCTGAAGCTGGGGTGGGGGGCACAGGAGGAGCGTGTGGCTGCAGGATGAGAGCACAGGCACGAGGGGCTTGGCTCTCTCTGCACCCACCGGGCAAAGCCGAGGGAGCTGCCGGTGTGGGAGCTCCTGCCTGTGCGCTCCCCCTTTCACCCCCACGGCAGCCCCCGCGTCCAGGACGGCCCAATAAACCCTGCTTCGGTTATTTTATTTTGTTTCCCCCTTCCCCTTTTCCTTTGGCCGAGTCCAGACTTTGCTTTGGTCCCTTTTTTTGTTCTGGTTCTTTGCTCTCCTGGCCTGGAGCCCGTGGCCTGGTGCCCTCCGCTTCCCTGGCAGCAGCGCCCTTCCCCTTGGGTTTCTTTTGCAGCTGTTGGTTTCACCACTCAAACCACCTCTGTTACAAAACTGGTGCTCACTGGATGATCTCCAGTCCCTGAACCTGCCTCCTGGGGCCACACAGCTTGGCTGAGGTGGGACGTGGACACCGGTGGCAGGGGGATGCTCCCAGAGCATCCCTCACCGGGTCACTCCCCCCTCCCCAAAAGCACAGGGCAGAGGGACAGGATTTCTGCCAGGCTGGGATGCCATGGGGCATCTCCTCCCAGAGGTACCAGGGCAGGGAAAGGCTGCTGCTGCCCCATCCCTGGGCAGCCAGATGCCATCCCTGTCCCCTTGGTGCTGGGGGGCAGAACCTGCCTCCCATCCCCTCAGTGCTGCCAGACCTAGGAGTGTGGATTGATGAGCCTGGGTTTGCTGCCTATGCTGCCTGCTCCTCCCAGCCCTGTGCCCTCCTGCAGCCTGGCAGGGTCCTGCTGTGCCCCAAGTTGGTGCTCTGGGGACACCTGGGACTGCCACGTGTCCCTCTGGCCTTACCCAGCGCTGTCACAGGCCAGGCTCCTGCACGGAGTGGGTCAGCCCTGGTGCTGCTGTGGTGCCTTAATCCCCGGCCATGCGGGAAGGGGGCACGTGGGGCTTGGGTTAGTGCTGTCACAGCCTGCTCCAGCTCCAGTGTCCTCTGATTGTCCCCAAAGCCAGCTTGGCTGGGATGGGACAGGGGTGCTGGCACTCACCAAACTGGGGCTGTTGCCTGCAGCACCTCCTGTTGGCTTGTCCCCAGCCATGTTGTGGGGTGCCCTGCGGATCAGCACCCCCCTCTTGTGCCCACCTGGCCTATGGGGGCCTCCTCCTTCCCTCCAGCTCAGCCCCCACAGTCAGCCAGGGCCCTGGAGAGACATCTGGGGAAAGGTGACCCCATGGCCAGGTCTACCAAACCTACCCAGTCTCCAAACCCTGCCAGGCTGGAGACTGGGCAGCCTCAGCCCCCTGTGCCTCGGCTGGTGGGGCCTTCAGGGACGCCTCACCCCCCTCTGGAACGGGCACATCCCGCGGTGCCGCCCGAGGCAGCCGCCACCTCTGCCCTTGGTGCTCTCAGCCGGTGCTTTCCGCCTCAGCGCCCTGAGGTGCTCACTCCTCTCCGTCTGTCCGACAGCCTCCCGCTGCCACCACGGCCGGCCAGCCCGGCCCCTTTCCCGCAGGGATCTCCCCGGATCCCCTCCCCACGCTGGCTTGGGCGTTAGGGCTTTCTGTTTGCCTTCTCTTGTGTTGCCGCTGTCGGCCGAGGACTCGCTGTACATAGATCCGTCGTGGAACGCCCCGTGTGGGTTGGGGGGGCCCGGCCCTGCGCCTCGTCCCTGGTTTTGGGTTTTTTTTGTACTCTGTGATGACTGTGCTGTGCTGACTTCTTTTCTGATTGTACAAGACACTGGCTCAGCAGCAGCTCGAGGCCAGCGGTGGGGACCTGTCTGTCCCCTCCAGCCCCTTGCGCCCTCCTCGGGGCTCCGGCGCCCGGGGTGGGAAGGACACGATGCACCTTTGGGGTCTGCCTCTTGCCCAGGTGCCCTGAGGAGTCCTGTGGGAGGAGGGGCAGCCTCACCTGGGCCTGCTTTCTTTTTTGACACCCCTGGGGAGCCACCAAAATGTTGACCAAACTGTCCTCCCCCCAGCTGCTCGTTGTCCCCCAGCCTGTGTCCTGCAGGTTTGCCCTGTCCCTCCCTAGGTCGGGGCTGCCCCTTGTCCTGTCACCTCAGCCTGGGCAGTTGGAGGTGAGTGGCACGTGGGAGTGTGATCCAGGAGGAATCCCGGAGGAAAGGGAAGCAGGTGGGCCCTGGGATGGGCATGGGCTGGGGGAACCAGGTCTTGATGGATTCCTCCTGGCTTACACCAAGCACCTCGTGTCCCCCAGCCTGGCAGCTGTCTGGGGACCATCCCCTTGCTGTGGGCTGAGCCCCTCTGTCCCCAGGGAATTGTCCAAGGATTGCACTAAGTCATCCCCTGCCACCTCCAAGGGTGTCCATCACCCTTGTCACCCCCCAAGGGTGCCCCTTGTCCCCAAAGGTGGTACCTGCTGCCCCCAGTGGTGCCTGTCACCCCCAAAGGAGCTGGTCACCCCCAAAGGTGCCTGTTGTCCCTAAAGGTGCCTGCTGCCCCCAAAGGTGCTCGTGGCCCCTGGGAGCCCCCCTGAGGGGCTGGAGGTGGGTGACACCAACACCTCACCCTCCTGCCCCCTCGAGCTGCTGCTGCCCGGTGGCCTGAACCTTACAATTTTAGCTTTTTTCTATTAAACACAAACAACCTTTTTTTAATTAAATAAAAGATGAAATGGACAAATTCCTGTTTTAGATGATCTGTGTAATTGACTGGGTTTTGTGTTTCTTAACTGCATGGTATTCCTGCCGAGGGGTTTTATAGCACTTTTTAAATTTCTCTTAAGATTTTGGTCCAAATTTCTACTGCTCTCGCCTGTCTGTCTTTGCTTTTTCCTTGCACCCTCCACGTTTGTAAACTCGCTCCATTTTATACCTGATGTTGAGACCCAGCCCCACGTTGTACATAGCTGCGGGAACAATCATAGGGAACAAACAAACACCATCTGGACTCTTTCCACGATTAGTTGTTTTTACTTCAAAGAGATTTTCAAAGAAGCATAAAAGGAAGCCAGGAAAAGGCTTGAGGATATTCCGAAAAGACAGAAACAAATCCAGCCCTGCACCAAGTCAGCTCCTGCTGCCCACGCTGCCCGCACCAACTGGCATGTCTCTTCTCGGTCGTCTGTCTAACACCATTGGATTCAATAAAGTGATCTCCTGTACTGCTGGCTCCTGGTCCTGTGTCTGTGGGCTCTGTCCCTGTGCCTGAGAGGGGAGGGCAGTTGTGCCACTGCTGCACATGATGGGCTCATAGAATGTTTGGGGTGGGAGGGACCTTAAAGCTCATCTCATTAAACCCTCCTGCCACGGGCAGGGACACCTTCCACCAGCCCAGGTTGCTCCAAGCCCCGTCCAACCTGGCCTTGGACACTTCCAGGTGTGGGGCAGCCACAGCTTCTCTGGGCAACCTGTGCCAGGGCCTCCCCACCCTCACAGGAAAGGATATTAAATGGAATATTTTTCCCAATATCCCATCTAACCCTGCCCTCTGGCAGTGGGAAGCCATCCCCCCTTGTCCTGTCCCTCCATCCCTTGTCCAAAGTCCATCTCTTTTTAGGCACTGGAAGGGGCTCTATGGTCTCCCTGGAGCCTTTTCCTCTCCAGGCTGAACACCCTCAGCTCTCCCAGCCTGTCTTCATAGCAGAGCCTGTCCTTGGTAGTCACCTTCCTGCAAAATCTGGGAAGTGGGGCTTGGTAGAAACGCTCCTGGGCTGAAACCCTGGCTGTTTTGCAGGATGCTGGGAGCAGTTTCAGGGATTGGGGACCCCTCTCCCAAGGTCACACTTTATCTATAAAGTCTGGAGTGGGCAGAAATGCTCCTGGTTTGGAATGCTGGCAGTTCTGCAGGATGTGGAAAGCAGGAGGTCCCTCTCCTGGGACAGGAGGGACAGGCTGTACTTGGGATAAGCAGGGGGGGAAGAAGGGTGGGTGGGCATCCCCTGGGCCTCTTTTGCCTCACCAGGTCTGATCCCCATGAAAGAATACAGTGGTGACAGATACCACATCAGCATCTGAGGGGACAGAGGTGGGGCAGTGTCCCCTGTGCAGTGACAGTTCCCCTGCCTTGCAGCAGAGCACGTAGGGAGGATGAAGGGGGCAGGGAGAGCCCGGTCTTCCCGCGGCGTCTCCAAATTTGTTTTCCCCTCCGGAGAGCGATGCTGGAGCGGGGACAGATGCTTCAAGAACCGGTAATTAATGACGGGGTGGTGATGAGTTGTAAGAGGCTGCAGTGGCGGATCCAGGGCCAGGAGAGGGCTCTTCCCATCGGCTGCTGCTTCTTCCGCAGGGCGAATTCACACGAGTTCGTTACGGTGCGAGCCCGAACGCGGAGAGCGGGACTGGTTTGGGGGAGCCCCGGCCCCTCATCCGCAGAGTGCCCTGTGCGTGCACCCCAACCTGTGCTGGCTCCGGGCCCTGTGCAGGCAGCAGAGCAGGCAGGAGAGGAGGCAGGAGAGCAGCAGAAGGGTCCCACTCATCACCACTTAACGGGAATCGCCACGGCTCAAAGCCAGCGAACCAGAGGAATCTGTCCCCAGGCACAGGGGAGGAGGCAGAAGGACCTCAGGGGGACGATGATGATGATGCTTCAATTCCAGACAGACACCTGCACTTGGGAAAACTCAGCCACACGTTCCAAGGGTGATGGGCAGGGGAGGGTCCCTTTGGTTTAGGCAACCAGCACCCATGGGTGCTGTAGTGGGGATGTGATCCCCATGGAAGTCCCTTCTCCTGCTCTCAGTATCTACTGGGAGCTCATGGATGTCTCTGTGGTTTGGGGGGGCTGGTGCAGGGCTGCGAGGGCTGGGAAGGGGAGCTGCAGGGCACAGGGATCCCAGCAGCACCTGGACGTGTGTGGTGCATCCACCGTGAACATTCAGCACCCAGAGTGTTCAGTAGCACCTGCCAGGTACTGACTGTGTGTGTTACAGGGCCAGGTGTGCAGCCACAGGCACTGGGCACTGCATCCCTTGGGCACCACATCCCTTGGGCACCACATCCCTTGGGCATCACATCCCTTGGGCGCAGCTACCGGCATGTGCAGCAGCACCTAGGGGCTACAACACCCAGTCCGGGTACAGCAGCACCCAGCAGCTCCTGCCAAGGTGACCTGTGTGCCAGCAGCACCTCTATCCCCAGGAACATGCAGCCCTTCCTGCACAGACCCACAGAACGGGGCGGTGCTGGTGTCTCATACCGGGCCTGGTATGAGGTGCCTGCCTGGAGGTGCCTGATGTGAAGTGCCCTGGTGTGGTGCTGGTTCCCCGTGTGACGTGACCCCAGAGAGGGGTGCCCGGTGCTTTGTGCCCAGTGCCGGTGCCCAGTGTGAGGTGTCCCCGAGGAAGGGTGCCCGGTGCCTGTGCCTGGTGCGAGGTGCCCAGTGGCAGTCCCTGGTGTCGCTGCTGGTGCTGCGTGTGAGGTGACCTCGATAAGGTGTGCCCAGTGTTGAGGTGACCCCGGTGAGGGGTGCCCGGTGTGAGGTACCTGATGTCGGTGCCCGTTGTTAGTGCCTGGTATGAGGTACCCGGTGCGAGGTGACCCCGATGGGAAGGTACCCGGTGCCGGGAGCCCCACGGGCGGTGCCGCTCCCGCACGACCCCCGATCCGCGCCCCGTGAAGGGTGGGTGGGTTGTGGGGGCGATATGTGTGGGCGGGGGCGCGGGCGGGGCCTTCAGGGGGCGGGCGGAGCTTCGCGGAGCCGCCGCACGCGAGCCCGGAGGGGCCGGAGCTGCCGCAGCGCCGCGCAGGTCCCGCCGCCCGCCCCGCACCGACCGCCCCGCACCGCCCGCACCGCCCCGACCGCTCCGATCCCCGCCCTCCACACATCGACCGCTCCCGTCCCCTCCCGCTCCGACCGCACCGACCGCAGGCACCGCACCGCTCCCGCCCCGCCGCCCCGGCTGGTAAGTGCCCGCCCGCACTCCCGCAGAAGTTTCTCCCCGCTGCCGCAGCGGCGCAGGCTCTGCGGGACGGGGCCGCCCGGGCTCCCGCCGAGCCCATCCCGAGGTGCGGTCGTCCCCCGGTGGGGTGGGTTGGAGTGCGCGCCGGTGACTCGCCGTGTCCCGGTGCCAGGAGCGGGGCGGGGGACGGCGCTTTCCCCGGGAAACCCTCCCGGGACACGAGTCCCAGCGCTGCCCAAAGCCCCCGGGGCTGTCCGTGGGGAGCTGCGCCCCGAAGGCGGCTGGAGACAGAGCCTGGTGGGATGAAGAGGGGGGCGAGCAGTGGTGCAGGGGGCTGCGGAACTGGAAGGGGAGCACTCAGGGGCGTGGGACCCCCTGGAGGACATGGGACCCTCGGGGGTGCCTCGCCGAGCGGCCGGGTCAAAGGTGCCCTCTGGGTGCTGCGGGATGCTCCAGCTTCGCATCCCTGCAGGTGCCCGACCGTTCCTGCCCTTGGGGTACTGGCCCAGGGGGGTGGCGGGGGGCGCGGGGCTGTCCCCGCTGCATTGCAGGGAACCCACCCTGATGCTGGGAACTCGTGGGAGCGGCGTGGCCCCAGCCGTGGGCGGCCGCAAGCCCCACTGCACTGGCGGCTTCTCCGTAGCGGCCTGGCCAGGAGCCAGCTCCAGCCAGACCCTTCTCCGGCTGGATTCCCCCACCAAGCTCCGGGATCCTCCTGCCCTCCCACGCTGGCTGGGTGCCGTCGGGGTGCAGTGGTGCAGAGGGGCTCAGCCCAGAACCGGGGGTGTCACACCGGGGTGCTGCAGCCCTCGCTGTGCTCAGCACCTCGCTGCTCCCTTCAGCCTAGTTTTAAAGAGTGATCCCGGAGGAGCTCTCTCTGCAAATTGCGCAGGGGACAGGCAGGGTTGCAAGGTGACTGTGGCGTGGGAAGAGGGGGACACGCGTCAGTGTCACCCATCGCTTCGTGATCCCCAACTGTCCACCCTCTGAGTGTCTCTGCACGGTCGCTCCTCGGCGCAGCGCTCTCGTGTCCCCCGGGTTAGAGTGGTCGGGATGCTGTTGTCGCCCACCGCGGGATGCCCCACACTGTGTGCTGTCACCCGCTGCAGGGTGTCCGGCAGCCCAGCCCTCCTGCGCTGTGGAGCTGCAGGGCGCTGCGGGACTCCCCACCGGCTCCTCTGCTGCAGCAAAACTTCAGTCCTGAGCGAGGGCTGGTGCGTGAGGTGCTGCTGCAGCGGTGTTACTCCCGCACGCTCCGAGCGGCAGCGCAGCCACCGGCAGGAGTCTCCAGCCTGCTGCATTATTCCTCGCTTCCACAGTGCCTCGGCCGCACGCTGCCGGGGGCTCCCGGACCACCGGGGCACCCACGGGGCATCCCCGGGGCTCTGAGCCTTTGCTGAGCTTGGCTGTTTTTTGGCCGCAGCGTTTTGTTGGGAGGGAGCGTGGCTGGAGGTGGTCTGTGTGCCAGGGGAGTGCGGGGCACCGGGGAGGTGATGCACCCAAGGTCATTGAGGCCAGCAGTGGTAGCGGGACATCACCTGTACTGCTCGGGAACACCACAATCCAGCAGAACACCCCACTCTCCCGAAACCCCCAATGCCTCTCGGTGCGATGCCCTGTCCCCTTCTTGCATCTGGCGTGGTGCAGGAAGAGGGTCTGACCTTGCCTGATCCCCTGGCACCTCGCCCGGCCTCCCGTGGCGAGCTCCACTGCCCCGCTTGCCGGGAGCCGGCCCGGAGCCCCGGTGCCCCCGATTCTGCCGGGCGAGGACACGTCCCTCGCTGCCTGCCGGCCCGGCGATGGCAGCGGCAGTGAGCCAGCACCGGCTGCGCTGCATCGCCTCGGGCTGCCCCGCTCTGCAACCCTCAGCGCCCGGGGCGAAGGAGGAGGGAAGACACACAAATACATTCATATAGACCCTTATATGATATGCTGATATATATTATATGTATTTAGCTGGGGAGGGGGCTTCCAAATCAGCGTTGCTCGCCCGCAGCCGTGCCTGGGGGCAGTGGAATGGCGCAGCCGTGGCATTTGTTGCCAGCTGCTCCCGAGGGAGCTGCCTCCTGCCCCGTGAGCCCTGGGGATGGCTCGAGCTAAAGGCCGTCAAAGTGAGCTGGGACTCCCGCTCACCCCGAGGGGTGGGGGAGCAGGTCCTTCCTCCAGCTCGCCATGGTTTTGGCAAAGCCCCAGCTCTGAGAGCCGGATGACTGCGGCTCCTCGTTATGACTGGAGTTTCTCCTTCCCTGGGCTGCGCAGAGGGCTGTGAGCTGGCAGCCGTGATGTCGTCCAGCAGGATCAATGCCCAGGCGTACAGACGGCACCCAGTGTCCGCTGGTTTTCAGCTCCTCTGCGTTTTAATTTCCTATCCCCGGCCGTGCAGCTCGGCACTGTGCCTGGCCACACTCCTCCTCAGCCGGGTGACCACCGGCGCCTTCCCTGTGCCGATATCTGGAGCTGCCGGGAAGTGCAATCGGCAAAATGCTTTTGCCCTTGGTTGTCGTCGGCCTTTCCCTCCTGGATGAACACCCGGCTGATCCCCAGCTTGTCCCCGCTCTGCGGTTGCCCTCGGCTCAGCTCCTGCCAGAGCCCACGTTCCCCAAAGTGCCCTTTGATTATTAGCTCTAATAATTGTGTTATCGCATCGACTGATGTGTTTCAGATGCCAAAGCTAATTTTGCTTTTCATGCCTTTCTTCATCAGTAATAGGATTTTGATAACATCACGCATCCCAGAGTATTGGATAAACTCAGCATAATTCCCCATTTATTAATTAAACTGTAAATCAGGCAGCGTGCGGCTGTAATCTTGAATACCCCGAACAGGTGTGATCCTGCAGCTGGGGATGGTGCTGGCCCATCCTTGACAGCCCTGGGGCTTGGGATCCTGGTGTCTCCCCCTGAGTTTGGGGGCTGTCACCTCCCAGTGGGGCCACCCACTCCATTGTTCCCCGTGTGCTGGAAGTCAAGGGATGTTTCATCAGCTCTGGTGTCTGGAGGAGGAACTGTGGGCCCCCTTAATTTTGCTGCTGGTCAGACGGTGGGGTGGGGACTGGCAGAGCTCCCTGTGCCCCCAGGGTGGCTCTGGTCATGCTGGTGCTTTGGAAGGGGTGACTGCAGCCGGCTCCAGCAGTGCATGTGGCAAATTCCTGATCTGCTCCCACTCTCCTGCCCGGGCAGTTGTCTGATTGTTGCACCAAACCCATCCCTGTTGTGCATCTGTGGCCTCACCAGCCTGGAAGGCACTCCTGGCACCATCGGTGGGTGGGGAGGGGTCCTTCTCCTTGTGCATCTTAAGGAAAGCTGGTGTGTTTTAATTAATCTGGGTGTTTTATGCTCCCCACCTCTTCCCAGCCCTGCACGGGTGTTTCAGATGTGGGCTCCGGGCTGGTGCATCCCTGAGGATGTGGGGAGGCCGGGAGCAAAGCAGCTGATTGTGGCATGAGATGCAGGTGGACGCTGGGGGCTGTGCTGGGACACATCCAAACCCTGAGCCCATCTGAGTCTGTGCTGAACTGGAGAACTGGAGGCGGGCTGGGGGGGACTGTCCTGCTGCCAGGGACCTGGGGAGCTGCTCCAGAGCCAGGTTGAAGCCACAGGGATGCGTGGGTGTCTGTGGACAGCAGGATGCCCAAAATATAACGGAGTGGTTTGGGGTGGGCAGAGCTGATTCAGCAGCCGATGCTCCGGCAGTGCTGCTGTGGGTCAAGGAATCCCTGAGCCCCGTGAGCCTCACATGGAGCCTTGGAACAATTCCACCAAAAAACCACAGAGCCTCTGAACTGCTCAGCACCACCCCGGGGAGATGCCTCCCACTTTCCCCTGCAGGACACAGAGTGTCCCCAGGGACTCACTGGGACAGAGGGCTGCTGGGACTGGGGATCCCCCAGTGGCACCGCAGCTCCCATCAGCCTCAAGCGCTGGATTCAGGGAGGAAAGCAACCCCAAGTTTCAGTGCTGTGCATGGATTTAGCAGCACATGGACTCCCTGTGGGCTCTGTTGCTGTCTTGCTCTGCTTCCAGGGGAGCTGCAGGGTTTGCTCCTGGGACCGAGGCGTGGCAGGGCAGGGTTAGTGCCTGGGGTGAAGGTGCCAATGTGTGCCCGCTGCTGTCCACTCACCAGACTGGTGCCACTCCCAGTAGCCTGGCACAGCCACTGCCCGGTGCTGCAGTGAACAGTGTGTGGCTGTGACAGCTCAGTCACAGCTCTGTGCCATGGGGTGGGGTGGGCCTGGCCATGGGGGACCCTTGGAAGGTGGAAGGAATGGTGGCTACCAACACCAGTGCAGGAACAGGGATGCTTTGCAGCTGGGCTCTCCAGGTTATTCTAGGGGGGAAACAGCCTTCCCTAGGATATGCCAGTGGAGCAGCTCCTCTGTGCAGCCCTGAACGTGTGTGCCATTGTGTCTGTGCCTCCAAAACACTTGGAAGGATGCACAGGGATGCAGCTCAGAGGGGATAGGGAGGTCAGCCTCTGGAGGCCCCTCTCGTGGTGTGCAGAGGCTGTGCCCATCACCCTGGCTGGGCTCCTGAATCTCCTGGTGGCATCTGCACAAGGTTTATTCATGGGAGTCAGTCCTGTGTTCTGGCCTTGATGGGACTTCGTGCCATAACGAAATGCCCTTGCCTGGAGTGGTGCTGTGTCCCCTGTGATCCCGCTGTTGTGCCTCCTCCATCCCCTTTCTCAGCCCGAATGCCACACGGGTGGGTGGCTCCAGGGACACAGAGCTGTACTCTGTCTCTGGGGCTCTCCTGCCTTGGAGCTGGGCGAGCAGCACCAGCACTGCTCCCACAGCCAGTCCCTGGGGACTGAGCCCGTGCTGGCAGGGAGGAGGGGGATCCTAGGGGATGAGCACCGCTGGGGGCTCCCCAGGGCCGGGAGCTGGTTTTCTGGATTCTAACACCATCCCATGACCAGCTCGTGCTTGGCTGGGTGCTGCGGAGATCTCCCTGGAGCCACCCCGCTGGAAATGGCCCCTCGTGGCTTGTGTCTGCTCGTCCGGC